CGGCAGCCTCCTTGTGCCCTCCTGCCTGCTGTGTCCCCGCGGGGCTGTGGGCAGCACGGGCACCAGGTGCAGGTGCCATCCCTCCAGCCCGTGGAAAAATCACTGGAGCAGCTTCACCTGCACGGCGAGACTGCCCTTCACCCCGCGGGTTGTTTGGCTCTGGGCAGGGGCAGAGCAGCTTTCCAGCCGAGTACAGCTGTGGAGCTGAGGAGATGTCCCTGTGCCCTTTGCTGCTCAGCTCATCTCCCGGCGCGTGGCTGTGGGGAGCCACGGGATGAGCCACGGGATGAGCCTTCGGCTGCTGTTAACACCTCTGGCACCTGTGCTAGGTCTTCGCAGACACACCAGCAGCTGAGAGCTTTCCAGCTCAGAAGGATGGAAAGGATGCAACCACAGTGAAACTTTGCTCTTTTGTCTCCCACAACGCAAAGGGGCTCGGTCACTGTACGTCTGTGTGCACCCACCTAACACAGGCAGGTTTCACTGTCTCTTTGCAGGTCTCACTATCTCTTTGCCCATACCCTTTCATCCCATAAGTGAGGGCAAAATATTTCCCTCACAGTGGTACAATGAATATTATTTTGCTACTATTTGTTGCAGCTGTCAAGCCGAACATGTACCAAGTCAAATACCCTTCCCCACAGGCTGGCTGTTCCATGTTTTGCCTTAACATCCTAATGATGTATTCGGAACAGGTTCTCTTCTGCAAGAGATTTCATGCTGCTGTGACTCCTTCAACTTCAATATGTATTATTGTGTCAGCAGTGTAGTGTATCAGAAGGGAAGTATATGACGCGTTCTACTCTAAGAGTGTGTCTGTGCAAAAAGTCAGTCTCATCAATTTCCACCCATTTTCTTGGCTGCTATAGTTTGAGAAAAGGCAGATACTTATTCTTTCCTAATTCTTGGTAATTTTTCCCTCACTAAGGTGGGCCTGGCTCTGGCAAAAGTAGCCAGTCTGAACAGTTAGCCAAGAAATACGGATTTACTCACCTGTCCACTGGTGACCTTCTCCAAAACGAGTTATCTTCATTATCAGAGAGAAGTAAATTGATCAAAGACATCATGGAATGCGGCGAACCTGTGCCTGACGTAAGCAACAGTTTTATTTGGGGTCCTAATGGTTAAACAAAGGGAGTGATAGGTAGTTGTCTAGAAGGGTGGAAATAAAATACTGCAGCTGATGATTCCCATTTCAGTAAAATGTGTCTCTAACCTGAGGGAAAGTTTCCTCATTGCCAAATGTGTGGCACTGGTTTCCTCTTTCAATGCCAGTATAACTTTACATTTCAGACTCACACAGACAATAAATTTGACATGAAATACAGTGAGACAGACGCAGTGCAAAATGTAAGTATACGCACAGGAAACAGAAACTTTATGTCCTTTTTATAGCTTTACATTTCAGATTCAGAGCTGGTCCTCCTGGCAGCTATTCTAAATTACAGTACTGGTGGCAGTTCCCTGCAGAGCTGGCTGACACCCCAGAGTAGCTGGATTGCAGCTTAATGGAGACTAGGAAGGTATAGGGTGTTGTTGTCAGCTGGACTTGACTTTTACATGGCAGATCCTCAGACCCAAATCTTGGTAGGTCTTCAGCAAGTGCAGCTAGATCATAGTGTGTGTTTGTTAATGAAAGATACTAGGAAGTGCTGCTCGGGGAAAGCTAAAAGCTGTGCTCAGGCTTGATTTTGATTGCTTTGCTCTTCAGTGTGTTTGGTCAGATGGGGTCACTTTCGATGTAATATAATTATATCAGTGACATAGCAAAATGCAATCAAGTTGGAAAATATTGCAGCAGTACTCCAGAGTTTCACAGTTATTAACATTCATTTTGAAGCTATGAAATATTCTCAGCTATCTAGAATGCACTGTGGGAACTCTTGGATGGCTTTGCAGCACCAAGTCTGTGTAGCATAGTTGGTCCTGAGAGAAGAAAAAGTAGGGTGCCCCTGCTACCTGCAGGACAAGAAAAACACCTGCATTCACAGGACCTGCTTTTAGCAAAACAAGGTTGTTCTCAAGGGTGCAGTCAGTGTAACAAAACAAAGGTTTCAATCTTTCTAATTAATTGACCAAGTAACTCCCTTTCTTTCCATTACAGGGTATTGTTTTAGAGCTTCTGAAGGAAGCCATGGTTTCCAAGCTAGGGGACACAAAAGGATTCCTGATCGATGGGTATCCCCAGGAGCTGAAGGACGCGGAAGAGTTTGAGAGCAAGGTGACCATGTGATTGTAAAGCCATCATAACTCCTATTAAGATACAACTGTACTTGTGTTGCAACTTGGGTCCCCATTTTCAGCTAGTTGCAATGGGGACGTGTAAGGAGCCAGTCCAGCAGTGCTGTGCTGCTGATCACTGAAACTCTGACACCCCACTCCAGCTTTTGCCCTCACCTACACAGACTCTGTATTATGAGGAGAAGTAATGGTTGATTTTACCCAAATTTAATGTAAATCAGGAACAATTCACATTTAGTGGAAAGCACCATTTTGGAGTCAGTTTTCTGATTCTAGTGGGTGGCACTATCCTTCTTATGAAAATCTCATCAGGCACTATTCGATGTAGGTTTGTGAAAGTATGTATCTTCACGGTTACTATTTCTTACCAGTAAGCTGGCTCTGCTAAAGCTTGCTGCTTCTTTGAAACAGCAAAACACAGATTTAATTTTTGTGATGAGTAACAGGTGGCATAGCCATAAAAAGAGCATTCTGCAAGTGACTGCGTGGCAGTTCAGAGAGTTATCGATTTCCTCAGTATGTGCTAAGACCTACTGAGAAGTCTCAGCCGTACATTTCTCAGTCTGCAGAAAATACTTTCTATAAGCCCTGTGAACCAATTTGCCAGGGTTTAGGAGAAAAGTGGTGAACTAGGGAAAATAGTTAAGTATATATTCCATCATATTACTCTCCACAAATGTCCTAAACAAGTTTGAAAGGTAATAAAACTTTAATGAATCACCTGTTTTCTCCCTGAACCATTGGCTGCTTTATTTAGTTGATTACCACAAAAGCCTAGAAAGATTTAGGCATCAGAAGATGAACAAAATAATGGGCAATGGGATTTGCTATGGAAGCCATTCATGGAAATGTTGATCTATTAGTTCCTTGACTAAAATGCTAAAAGACATTGGAGATTTCTTTCATTTTGTGTATAAGGAGGAAATATTTCAGCAGTGCTGCTTTTCTGGCAGGCATACGTGTCATGTCCTGTGGACACTGGTGTATGTTATGAAGAGAGATTTAGAGACTGGAGTGTCCTGGGCTCAGGCATTGCCAGGCAAACAAGTCTTGATGAATCCAATGCAAAAGCAGAGCCCCTTTCGGTTCCCGTGGACCCTGTAATAGCAAAAGCTCCTGTAGTCCTGAGCTGCCTTTGATATTTGGAGTAAAGTACAAGGACCTCAGGTGATAATTGTCAATGTGCTAAATCATCCCTGTTGTTCCATGTATCCACCTTGCTTTTCACAGGGTGAGCTTGACTGGCTGTGAGCCACTCAGTGAGACTGTGAAGTTTTTTCAAATGAGTCATTATGGAGATAATGCTTTGCAGTTCCTTCTAAAGGGTGATGTGAAGTTCTTCCTAAATGATAATTGAATGAAAAGAGATGCACACCAGGCTTTATTAATTAATGGCAGCAAAGTAGAGATGAATAATGCCACATATCTACATGATGTGTAAAAAGCATTATAATTGTTAACAAAGAGCTGTTCTATTTAGATGACATTGAGAATAGTTCTTATACTTCAGAGCTTGATAGCTTTGACTAATAGACAGAATGAGCTATGTAGAAACAGCTTATTCTCCAGCCAGTTTTGCCCAGTTCTTTTCTATGATACAATTGTACTTCTACCTAGCCATAATTCTAGAGGAGCACATGTCTCTGTTCCCTCCTTGGTATTTCTGCTAGGTGAGAAGTAGAAAACATTATTAAATTATAAGTTCCACATCACCAGGTGGAAAATAGTAAGACAGAGTAAAGACCCAATACATTAGACTTGTTTGGCTTCCTGCAGATGTCCCCACAGCATGTATTACTTAAGCTAAATTGTGTCAGGAAAATAATAATTATTTAAAAAACCCAACTAATAAAAAATGCTGTAATATCTGGTAAGGGCATTACTTTTACTTTTTGTAATTTTTAACTTGGAAGAATGACATTTCTACAATGTTTTGAATTCAATAGCAATATTGAAACTTTTAAGAAAATCATGTGCATTTTCTCAAAAGCAAATCAGACCCTGCCTATCCAGCAAGATACTGTTATCTGATCCTATCACTCCTTCATATCCGCATTGTAAGGTGATGGTATGACTATAACTGATGAAAGGAATCATTCCCTACTTACTGTACTGTGATTTAGAAGAGACAATGGAATTCCTCACGTGAGACTGGGAGGAAATAACTTCTCACCACCCTAGTCCAGTTACACAAAACTAATCCTAGTTCAATTATACAAAAAGGATATTTGTTCAAATCATCAATTAAGCTCACATCTTTTTTAACTTCTCTGCCTATGTCTCTTGCACTATTAAAACTGCCTTGTTGGCTTCTTTAATCCCCAAACCCAGTGCTGCTGCTGTCAATAGCATTAATGTTTTCTGAGCTGTGTGGAAAAAATGGCTAGATAAAAGCCTGTCATGGAACTGTTCAACATAATCCCTTGGCTTCAGCTGTCGTAGAAAGTCATTAAGGTAGTCGAAAGGTCAACACAATCCAGACATCCACAGTCAAATGCAGAAGTTTTGACATGAAATATTTACCTTTAGAATATTTTTTCCTTTCAGGGCTGTCAACAAATGTAACAATGGTATTTTCCATATATCAGTGATTTAGAGTTTCTTTGCTCTAGCTCTGGTAAAAATACAATGTTCTAATGGTCACTAGTGTGAAGAACAGTTGTCTTTTTTCAAGACTTCTCACTTTTTCCTAAAAGGTGTTCTCCAAATCCCTACTGGAAAGGGAAGGAATAAGAAAAAGAATGTCATTGAAGGATTAAATACATAACTGCATGGAAAAATTATCACATTGTTTTTCACTGATCCCTCTATTTCACTGATAGAGTGGAGTTTGTCCCTTTGGGCTCAGCCCAGAAGTTGTTGCTCAGGCAAAACCTTGTGTCAGAGTGTGCTGTGCCTGAGCAGGGTGCATGACAGAGTGCATTGCAAGATTTCTGCTAAATGACACACATATTTGTCAGTGTTTCAGGGAAAGAATGATGAGGAATTGTGTTTAGAACTTTTGGCTTTCTCCTTAAAATATTACCAAGAACATTTTGCTCTTTCTTGCCAGTTCTTTTTTACCCGTAAAGTACTGCAATATCTACGATCAAATGCAGAGAGAGACAATTATTTACTATCTTTGCCAAGGCCTAAGAATAAAAATAAATAAATCTCTATTTATTTTCTTTATAGGGAAGGACAGACTCTCCTTTACAACTAGTTTGGCACTAGCCAGACTGCATGAAACAGTGGGCTTCCTATAGAATTTGGAAATGACTTGCCAATTTGAAAATGCACATAAATATATCATATCCCTCCTTTATGCCATGAGTAGTAGTGATGTAGAGGTACAGTGCAAATAAGGACATAAAATACTGTGTAACATGAAGTAATTCACATTCCTGTGAATCTTTGGTGGTGCCCCTGAGCCTGTCTGTTGTTGCTCATTTCCATTTCAAGTGGGCACACTGTAGTTTGAACATTTCCTTCTATTGCATCTTGAAATTCTAACCTGTAGTTTAGCACTCCCTTTGCAGAGATTGAACTAAACAAAGGCTGGAAACATAACTGTGTCAAGTATTTCGTAAGTCCTTTACTGTTTGCATCAAGCTTCTGTCTATGACAATCCTCAGTCCAAGTAGCCAGAATTTGTCAGATCATGCTTCTCTATCTCTCTGTGTAGAGCCCAGTCAAGCACAGCCTTGATCCTGAATACTGGGACCTCTAGGTGCTGCTACAATGAGAGGTGTTTGTTAAAAAGCATAATTTCTGCAGAGACAAACACTATTTGCTAATAAATTCCTGGATGACTCTTTTGGTATAATCCAAAGAAAATCAGTTTCACCAGGCCAGTGGTTTGAATACTTACTGTTTTTCTTTGTCTCTAGATTGGGGAACCTAAACTCGTGTTCTGCCTGGACTGCTCTGCAGAAACCATGAGCAGTCGCCTGCTGATGAGACATCAGAGCACTCAGTGCCCGGGGAATGCCAGAAGGAATCGAAAGCTATTGCCAAGCATCAAAACCTCTGATTGAATACTATGAAAGCAAGACACAGTTATGCAAGGTAAATTGCTTGACCTTTTAAATTAAATATTGCTTTTTACTTCCATTATATGAGCAATATTCAGAAAACACTGACATGACACCATTTATGAACTGTTTCTGCACCTTCCTATAGTTCTCATTTTACACTTCCCTGAAAGCTATTGCCAAGCATCAAAACCTCTGATTGAATACTATGAAAGCAAGACACAGTTATGCAAGGTAAATTGCTTGACCTTTTAAATTAAATATTGCTTTTTACTTCCATTATATGAGCAATATTCAGAAAACACTGACATGACACCATTTATGAACTGTTTCTGCACCTTCCTATAGTTCTCATTTTACACTTCCCTGGTTTGTTTGCAACTTCTACAAACTTCTACTGAGTTCCACAGTACAGTGTGAAAGTGTAAAATCACAGATTTATCCTTAGTCTGAGAACACATCCTGAATCACTACCTCATCTGTATGGAAGCTCTTATTAATTATGGAAAGTTTTTCTCTAAGTATTAGGATTTGTTTCTCTATAAGGGCTTTCAGAATTAGGATGAAAGATCATGTTAATCTAAAGCCCTTTAGTTAAATTCACAAAATTGACAGTGTATATCCTGAAATAAACCAGACTTGCATACAAGATCTTTTGGCTGGAATAAATAACATAGTTATATTAATTTCAGAGAACTACCTCAGTTTACACCTGCTCAGGATGTGACACTTAAAGCATTCTTTTTATTCTTTAATCAATACTTTACAGCGAAGCAAGAAAAATTCCATCAGTGCACTTAACTGATATATATTCTGGCAACATGTAAACTCATTTACATGGGTTGGTTTTGGACTTTTTTCCTTTATTTCTCTGCTCTGTCATAGCAAACTGTCCCTTATGTTCAGCTACAGAAAGATCTAGTCCTACTGCTCTGTCTTGTCCTAAAAGGGAAAGAATCCAGTAATAGTTTCTGGAAATATGATAGGATCTTTTTTCTAGAGGCCGTAGAGAACATGCAAATCACATACCCCAAACTTTTCTCCTCTGCAAGGTTCCCAAAAGAGAAACATGCAGCTAATTTATGCACCCATATCCTGACGTGAGAACAGAGTAAATGATGTAGTGCTGAGAAAAACGATGCTCAAAAGGAAGAGTCCTCATTTGTGTCCTTTGCTAACCCCACAGTAAGTGCACATAAGGCAAAGTCTAGAGTGGAAGAAAAAAAGTTCCCATTAGTTTTCATCTTTAAGCTTAAGAACAATTGCCTGGTTTTACTTGTTTTTCCCTTGAGGAGCTGTCTTGCCAACATGGCGAGGATGTGTCGAATTAAGAATTCAGTACAATACACAATACAGCAACACAGCACAATGCAAAGGAAAACAGAGCTCTCTGTCTCAAGATCCTGTTCCAGTGAGTTGTGCCTACCACAGTGTCTCCCTTTTTGAAGCATCAGGAAAGTAACAGCCCCAAAGATAATGAAACTACACTAAATACTTTCACACAGATTTTGCATTCCTGGTCTGCCTTATTTCACTTGACGTGGACTTTGCTTGCCCTTTCTTAATACTTCTGCTGCAGGTTCCTGCTCCATCTCCTATGCCATGGCAAAATGTGGAGTCTTTTCTTGAGACTTGATAGCTCATTAGCTCCTTAAGGGACTTGCCTAGTCTGTGGCTCAGAACTGGATGTGCAATTTGTACTGTTATCATTAGTTTGTGGGGTAACTGACATTGTATGTGCGGATGTTATAAAGTACCTGTGCTTTGCTTGAACAGTGCCTACACTGTTTCCCTTACAAGGTCTGTACATTGTCTGAACTTTCTTCTGATGAATGTAGGTGTTCAACATCCATCCATCTTCTGGGTGGAGCCATTGGGTATGAAGGCTCTCTAAAATCAGCTTTATAAACATTATAATGGAAAATGTCCTTTTAAGGTTGAAAAACACATTCTGTTTTTCTCAAACACAGATACTCTATTACAATGTCTGTCTCATCCACTCTTTGCTAAACCGATAAAATACACATCTGCTATCAAATATGTGGTTCCACTATTGATTGAAGTGAGGAAATGCCCCATGTCAACCCTTATGATGTAGACAAGTACATGATCAGTTATTTATCAGCATCCAGAGAACACTGACAAAATACTCAGCAGTGGTAGGCTTTAAAATCAATCCTCCCAAGGCTGGCCTGGTCACCCTCAGCCAGCCTCGGGTACAGGGCTGCAGCCCTGCTGCTTGTGCAGGGAGGAGCAGAAGAAAATGTAGTTTTTGTACAAGAAACGTGTTAACATTTTATTGCTCATGGGTGAGAGAAGTGATTTTTTTTAATGAAGAGTTGTTGAACAGCTGTGGGAATCTATTTTAAAGTTTACTTTGCACCTACAGTGAAAGTGGAAAAGTAGGTCGAAGCACTTTTTCCACAAGGCAATTGACATCAGTACTACCCTGATCCAAATGTTCCTGGTCAGTTCTGCAGTAGACAGTGCTGGAATAAAAAAAATAAGCAAAATAAACCCCCAAAACTAAAACATTCTGGTTTGGAAATACACAAAATAATGTGAAGCTAAATAAGTTCTTTTCTGGAAGAAATTCTTCTTTAGGGCAATTTTCTAGTCCTGGATAAGTGAACTCACAGAGCTTAATCATACAGTCTGACTTGGTCAGCTCAAACTGTGCCTGGCACAGTGGTGTCCTTCCAGTGCCCAGTCCTGCTTTGAGCAAGAGGCTGGACTAGGTGACCCACTGAGGTTCTTTCCAACCTGTATTATTATCCTGTAAATGCATATCCTACAAACCTACACATCATATGGCTCAACAGTTTGAAGAATAAAGACAAATAAAAATAGTTAAGACTTGCTCAATGGCTGTTTTGAAACAAGAAGAACTAGATAATACAAACTGTGTAACTGTTAGCTATGTGGGAAATACAGAGAAGACAGACATTTAGGTTCACAGTTTTAAAACTGTTTTAGCAGTGGATATGTTTAAGCTGCATGTGTTGAAGAAAGCAGAGAGTCAAGGGGAAGTTTGCAATTCCCAGGACACAGAGTTAGTTTCTTATTTATAGCACAAGATTTTACAGATGGCCAAGCACTGACATTAGCAGCCACTGTGATGTTCTCTGAATGGTGAAAGAAAATTCAGGTGGAAAGCAGAAAAATGGTCAATAATAACTTCTGATCAAGTATATCAAATATAACTTCTGACTGCAATTATTTTTGTGCAGGCTAGGCTAAAATAGTCCTTACTTTTTGGTATTTCTAATATCATATACATACACAGAAGGCTGAGACTTTGCCTAGAGGCAGTCTAAGATGTTTAATATTTTTCTTACCCATTTTAATTATAACTCCACATGTTGTGGAGATGCTGCTGCCTCTATAATTCTGCTTACTGGAAGAACTGTGTGTGTGTTTCCTAATCCATTTCAGGCAGAGCCACCAAAGTTAATTTACAGGTGTTGATTTGAAGACTCCTTAAAATAAATTCTCATTTACATTCATGAAATTTTTTTTTTTTATAATCCATGGACCTTCATGTAACTACAGAGCGGAGGTTTGTGCACTCTTTTTCTCAGGCAAACACGGTGGGATGCAGTAGCTTCAGGGAAGTGATATTTTCCTGAAGGAGCTGTTTGGACATCCTGATCAGTCTGTGATCCCAGGATAAGCAATGGCCAAAGCATCTGAAGAGAAGCTGTTTACAAAAGAAAGACAAGGGTCTATAAGAACCTTTGGTTACTCCCTTCTGTAAAGTTATTCCTTCCCAGGTTTGGTTTTTCAACAGAGATGGATTAGGAGACACATACACAGCAGCTCTTCAGTGGAATGTCCCTTGAGATTGCAGCAATGCACTTTCTTAAGCGTTCAGAGGAGTGGATATTGAGATTTTAAGAGGAGTATTTTAGTTTTAATCCCACTAACTTCCATGAAGATTCAGCATTAACTTTTTCTAGCCAGCTTGTTGCAGTGTGTGACTAAGCACAACTGAATTCTAGGTGCAAGAGTGTTTAATTGTGTAAGCGATCACGTCTTGTAGGGCTTGACTGTAGCACCCAGCCCCTGTTTTTCCACAGAAAAGAAAATCAGAGACTTGTTTAACAAGAAAACAGGGTTGGCTCATTGGTATAATTTGATTTCTCCATTTTAAGTGTATTTAGGGCTGGACAAAGTTTTCCACAGATTGGAAACAGCACATGACAACAGTGGTGCATATTTATCTTGTCCTACCCAGTCGAAAGGTTTTCAGTCCTGAAATAGCCTGATTAAACATGCAAATGCAAAATTCTATCCTGGGCATAAGGCCAGCAAAAGGTCTGGTGTGGGAATTAGGTGTTGGATGAGCACTCAGCACAGGAGGAACTGGTCTGTCACGCCACATCAAGGGGCTCGAGACTGCAGCATCAAATGAACTTTCTTACTCTGGGTATTGGAACAGGCATTAAGGCATGGTTGGATGGAGCCTCATAAACACAGTGGAGACAGAAACGCTCAAGTCTGACCTAGCTTCCTCTGCATTCATTAGGAATTCTGTCCTTGCTTTACTTGCACAGAAGAGACAGAGGTACACGGTTGTAACAGCATCCCCACTTTAATCCTTGAGAATGTTATGACCTTCTCTAAACCTAGAGTTACTGTGCACAGGTGTATTCATAACTAACTAATACAATACTAGGAACTGGAACATTTTTCTGTTCAGTGATCTCTGAACAACAACAGTGGCCTGACAAAAGATCAGGACTCTGTTTGAAATTTACCTTTGGCCAAGATTACCTGTCAGTGTTTCTGCTCAGCAGTGCAGGCATGAAGCATGCACAAAGGGTGGAGACTGCGGGTGCAGATGAAACAACTGTGACCTCGACAGGAATAAACAACAGGGATCCTTCCAGCCACCCTGCTGAGATGGGGAACTGTGAGGTAGCTCACAGGAATGTGTTTGCAAGGGAAGATGAACTGACTGAAGATGAAGGGCAAAGGATCACAGTGTCCTCTGCTCACTTTTTTGCTAAGGCATTAAGTTCCTAAATTGTTTCTGGAAAGTAAAGTAGTTGTGAATAATAAGTTAGAAATTTTTCAATTAATTTTTTTAAAAATCATGTTTGGATGATTTAGTTTAATATTGCATAGTTTTTTTCATAGTCAGAGAACATCCACCTGCTGCTAAGGACAGCAAGTGGCTGCTTTTCAGTGAAGACCTTGCCCTGGAAATGCAGGGGCTGAAAGCACTGCTCACACAAGCCCTGGTTACAAGGCACCTGAGTCTGTGGGAATCAGATGTTTCAGAGTATTGAAAGGAAATGCACTATGGTAGCTGTAGTAAACAGGTAGTTACTGTTGTTTTCAAATTTCAAATTTCTCAGTGATTTCCAAGGCAGCTGGACAGAAAATTGCATCTGAAAATTTAGTAGACTCCTACTTGTGTTTCGACATGGCTAAATGTCAAATACATGAATATGTGGCCCTCTGTCAACTGAGAAGAAAGGGAGGGGAAAAAAGTGATTGTTTTTAATATCTGACTCATCCTTTAAAGCTTTTGTCAAGTGACAGTACGTGGGAGGGTAATAAGTAACAGAGAAGAGCAGTGCATTGGTAGTCAGGCAAGACAACACTGATCCTACCGAGCTAATGTAAGACACCTGGTAGGTGTCTTAAATACAAGTTCCCTATTCAAAGTCATCTGAGGTAAGAGGGCATAAGTATAACACATTAGCTAAGCACTCCAGAGCAGTGGATTAAGGGTGTCCAAAAACTTTCACTATTTCAGATCACATCCTATGAAAGCTTAGCCTACAAAGTTCAACAAAAGTGCATTTTCTGTGGTTTTTTTAAAATTAATTTTCCCACAGTGTTGTTCTACTGTTTCTTTGTAAAATCAGCCGAAGTCACATTTTCCATAACCATTATGAAGGAACACAGAACCATCCACCCCCTCACAGCCTTCCACTTGTCAGCCTTCTCATGCTGACCCTGTTATAAGTGTGTCTGGGGAGGGGCAAATGTGTACTTCTCCCTTTTGGGAAGGGGTAATCAATGGGAATACTGAGAGCAGGTACAGGATCTATTTCCATGTTTTGAAAGGTTGTCAGGGCCCCATTAACCCTGGTAGGTAAGTAGGTGGGGAACAAAGGAACAAGTGTTTCTATGTCATCCCCTTGGTGGTTTGTGGCCCATTAGATAAGACCAGTATAGAAAGATACATCAGAAACCTGAGCAGGGGATTATAGATAAAACACAGCTGAAAACTCATGCCTAATACGAATAGGTCTCAGGGCAGCATGTTTTCACTAGATTTCCAGACAGCTTGATCCTTTCCTCTGAGAACCAGGTACTGCACAGTCTCAGAGAGGTTTTCTAACACTCTTTTTAACAACAAAGACATAAATGTTAGTGACAATACAGCTGAACTTGACTGACCTTCACAGCAGGAAGAACTAGTGAGTTTATTCCAGAGTCTCAGTCTGTCCTCAGCCATCCTCTCCACAGACAGTCAGGTTTTTCTCAGTGGCAGTGTATGCTTAGGGTTCTAAATTCCAAACCTACAACAAATGGAGATTTATTGACAGAAAACTTAATTGGCTAATTTTAATGACAAAAGGAGGAACACTGTACCTTGGAGATGGTTACTCCAGTCATTTTTCATGAATTCCAGAGTCTCAGTCTGTCCTCAGCCATCCTCTCCACAGACAGTCAGGTTTTTCTCAGTGGCAGTGTATGCTTAGGGTTCTAAATTCCAAACCTACAACAAATGGAGATTTATTGACAGAAAACTTAATTGGCTAATTTTAATGACAAAAGGAGGAACACTGTACCTTGGAGATGGTTACTCCAGTCATTTTTCATGAGCTCATTAAATTTCTCTGTATTTGAAGTTACCCAAAGCCATAGCTGCATTTCAAATCTGGAAGCACTATGGAAAGCTGTATATGGATCTTGCTTTTATGAGAAGCCTGGCATCAATAACCTTGAAAACAGTCCTAATTTATGAGGTTTCTTATATTCTGAGAAAGATATATACACAGTTTTCTCTCTGGAGCTGCAGTGTCATTGAATTACTGGAGTACTAGATGTGAATTATTGTCACATTAAGTTAGTTCTGTGCCATGGTGTTAAGTTAGTTTTATGAATTGGACCTTTGTTATTTAGGAGGCCAACATGGGAAGCACTGGGGCTGTCAGTAGTCATGCTCAGCCATATCTCACTGTGACTGTTAGGAGGTCAGTGTTCAGCCTGTCATGAAGGGTGGCAATTTCCATGCTTACAAAACTAATTCTTCATTACAACTGCCTAGATCTAGACACCATAGTAGGTGTCTTGGCAGGTGAGACAGGCAAAACAAGCTGTGTAATAGCAGCTGAGATAGGTTTGATTGTACCTGGAGAAGGAAGGCATTTGGACCAGAATGGTTCACCATTCCCTTTTTTTCTACTAGTAAAGTACCTCTCTAAATCCTCTGTCTCTATGGCATAGAAAGCTTCTGACAGACATGCAGCTCTTGTTGGAAAACTGACCGTTCTAAGGCACCACCTGCTGCTTCATGAGCTATTCCAGCACATGTTATGCTTCAGCATTACATAAAGCAGCAGCAGCAGCAAATGCCAGCAGGACAGAGAGCAAGCCAGGCAGAGCTGTGCTGCTGGAAACTGCCAGGAGGGCAGAGGGGAGTTCGCTCAGACTGTAAGAGTTTTTGCAGTGAGTCCAAGGGGACTGGACCCAGCCAGTCATACTCCTTAGAGGCTGTGCTGGTCATGCACTGCTGGAACTGTTACGCGTGGTGGAGACTCGTGAGATGTGCCAGCACTGCCGACAGTGCAACAGGGACCAAACTCTGCAGCATCTGCAGATGCCACCAAGACTGAAACCACAGAGTGTGAATGCAGTCCCTTGCTGGATCTCTGCAAGGAGCAGCTGCTGACTCCCACACAGGACTCAGCACCGAGGGACTTAAATGTATATGGAGTGCACTCAGATGATACAGGAGCTGGCTGCAAGCCAGCACCATATCTGAGCAGAATTTCTTGGCCTATTTAAAAAATACATTTTATGAGTTTGAAACTGCTTTTATTCTACAGAACAAAGAGGTGGCAGGAAGTATGATGGTAAGGAATAGCCCCTCCAAACACTACAATTGTCTGGCATCCGTGTCAGCCCCTTGGAGATAAAAATACAGCACATAGTTCAGAAAGAGAACCTTTAGCAAAGTTGTCCATTTAATGTTGTGCAAACTCTGTGGCGTGCATGCACGGAAGACTAGATAGGGAGAAGCAGAAAGGTAACTTGCTTTTGAGGTGAGACTGAAGGTCTCAGCAGGCATTTTAGGAACAGAATAATCAGCAGATTCTTCTGCATGGTGTATGTAGCCAGTGTGAAAGCTGCTTCTGTTACTCTCCTTCATCAAGTGGTGACCTGGGTGACACTCACTGCATGGGATGGACATGAAACTCATCACTCAGAACAGCTCTGGGCTACCTTGTGTTTTCCAGGGAACACACGGGAAGTGTTACTGGCAGCAAACATCATTCCTCTTTGCTAAAATGCAGCTCTCTTTTCTTCTGCACAGGAAAGTAAATTGGTCTTGTTTTTGTAAAATCCAGTCATGAAAAATGACTTGAACAGAAAACAGAATCTTTGGGGTTTTGAAGAAAAGAGTTTCTTCAATGAAAGTGAGAGCTCTTACCACAAAAGCAGCACTGCTATAAAAGATGCATTACCCAAAGGACATCATAAAATCAGGACCAGTTCACCAAGCTTGCAAATAGAAATGCACAGAAACACACAGACTTGCTATGTTACTGTGCTGATACCACAGAGAGCTGTGCTGCCCTTCAGAAGGACCTTGACAGGCTGGAGTGATGGGCAGAGAACTGTCTGAAATTCAACAAGGGGAAATGCAGGGTCCTGCACTGGGGGAGGAATAACTCCATACCCCAGTACAGGTTGGGCTCTGAGCTGTGGGACAGCAGGTCTGTGGAGAAGGACCTGGGGGTCCAACAAGCTGTCTGTGAGCCAGCAGTGTGTCCTTGTGCCCAAGGGTGGCCTGGGGTGCATTAAGAAGAGAGTTGCCAGCAAGTCGAGGGAGGTGATCCTGCCCCTCTGCTTAGCTCTAGTGAGGCCACATCTGGAGTGCTGTGTCCAGTTCTGGGCTTCATGGTACAAGAGAGACATGGAGCTCTTGAAGCAGGTCCAGCAGAGGACTAACAAATCATGCAGGAGGTCACACACGGGCACAGATTGCCCAGAGAGGTGGTGGGTTCTCCCTCACCGGAGATACCCGAGAACTGTTGGACACAATCCTGTGCCATGTGCTCCAGGATGCCCTGCTGAAGCAGAGGTTGGGCCCACTGTGATCTCTTCCAATCTGACCAAGTCCATGATACTACTAATTTGAAAGTCTTTAGGTCAGTCTGACTGATGACAAAAAACAAATTAACAAGTCAGTGCTATTCATCTGACTAACAATATGATATCTAAGTTATTCTATCAGGTTTCTTTTGGAGAGTATCAAATGGTAAAATAGTTTCAAAACATCTTTGGAAACTCTTCTGTGTATCAAAGGTGCAATTTTACTTTAAAATGTAAGTAATTAAGAGCTTAAGCTCCTTCACTTGATGAATGTACTTTGCTACAGACAATGAAGTTTACAGAATGTTCTCACATAAATCTGTGGAAGCAAAGTGAGTAATTTGGTTCATGGAAGCTGCTCCTCTACATCAGAATTCTTGCAACATGAAACAGAACAAGTTTCATTTTATCTTGGACCATTTTTTTGTGCCAGTGTTTAGATTCTGAGATAATTCTTTGTAATTTAATCAAAATTAATGTGTTTTTTTTCCTGCTTCACAGGTTGATGCAGAAGGAACACAGGAGGATGTTTTTCTGGAAATCTGCAAGGCAGTTGACTCTTTTCTGAAAAAGGAAGAGGCAGCATTTTCTTTTTCCACAGAAACACAGTAATGGTGTGTACACAGCCTCACCTCACGTGCACCTGACATCTAACTGCAATGCTGGTCGAAGCAATACCGCTTTCTTGAGAGGTATCTGGAGTTTGTGCATGTGGTATGTTATTCTAGATGAAACCTCTATTCTCTGTTCTGACAGTACACTCAATAGAAAGTGGTGTATGCTAACCCTGCTCTAAGAACTGCATTTTGTTTCTCGGGTGTTTGCTCTGCAAGGGTTAACAGAGCAAGGTGAACAGCAGCTCTGGTTTGTAGTTCATGACTGCATACATTGGGTCAGAAACCAGAGAGTGCCTGGCCAGCAGTGAGCTCTCCAACCACACCACTCACTGCTCAGCACACTGATCTTAATATTGCTGCATACAAGTTTCCCATTAGTTAATATTTTCTTTTAATTAACAGTATTGATTTTTGTGGTGTCACTTAGCTTGTTCTTGGGCTTTAGTGACTAAAACCTGTTCTCTGTCACATGCAGCTGCAAGACAGCTGGAATTAGCCGAGCTAGATGTTAAACTTTTCACACATCCCCAGAACACTATTGCAACAAGGAGAAAAACTAACTGAAGGTGAAGATACAGGTGAATATTGTGGAAGTCTGTCAAATCCATTATTGTGGAGCAGATACCATTTTTGAGAGTCTTGTCTTCTGCTGGGAATTGTAGGATTTTGTAAGTGACTTCCCAGTGTTGTGAGCTGAGGTGAGAATGGTTGTATTGTGTCGTTAAATGTGCAGCCCAGTAATGATCCATCTCAACAGCAGTTGAACTATAGCTATTCCAGTCTACATGTAAAGTTGACTGTGAGCCAGAACATATGATGTTGTCTTTAAATCATACTTTGGAAGTATTTCAAATGCGAAATTCAGATCATCACCTCTTGTCTTGTACTGGCACTGCCAAAACTCGGGGAGGGGTGGTGGGGTGGGAAACCCACAAGAAATGAAAGTGTCAGGATTATTTGATCCATGTTGCTTGCATCTTCAGTAAGCCCTTTGGCCATAATATCTGCAAAGAAGTCTGTAAAAGTCATACCGTATTTCCATTAGGTTAACCAAAATATTGTGGAGTTTCTTTGGTATGCTGACAGCTAAGTAAAAGCTTGTTTGACATTCCTGTAAAGTAATTGCATCCTCTTACTGGAACTACTGGATGAATTCACAGTGGAAGTGGGTTGCATGATTGCTTGTACTGTCAAAGTTGTACTTTATGCGACAGATTTGCATTTTTAAAGTTACCTTTCTTGTAATGAAGACATAATACAAATAAAACATGTACAAAAATGAGGAGTAATGATTTCTGTTACAGTATATGTGGGTTTAATCCTTTTTAAAGCACAGTACATGACTTGAAAATATAGTTCAAATCAGCATGCTTACAGAGTATGTCCTTCTTCCATTCAGGGCAGATCCTTCCGTTTCCTTTTCCTCCTTAGCATTTGCCCTGTAAATGCTAATTCAATTATTTTTACGGGTCTGTTTTAAGTATGTTCTTATCCTTCATATCCTGGATGTTCCTTTTTTCCTGGGTCCTTCTACAGCCTACATTTTACCTCTGATGCTCTAGGAAGTGCTTCTCCAGCTCCAGCCCAGTGCTATTCAATGAGCAGGAGCACCTGCAGTGCAGCAGCTCTAAGGAGGAGACTCAGGCCCAGAAGGCAGGTCTGGCTGCAGGAGCCTGAGGCACCAGCAGCTGCTGCCTGCTCTGGAGGGTGTTTTAAGAAAATAAAATACTCTGGAGTTACCAAGGAGTAGCAAATGCATCTGGGTAGCTTCCTGAAGTATTTTCTAGGATTTTTAATTCCAATAGAAGTTATAAAGTGTGGAGTCTCATACCTGTGCAGGATGGGAGCAAAGGCAACAAGCAGCTGCTGTTTTGTTGGGGTTTTTTTTTAATCTAATTGCAAAAATTATGTAACAGACACTTTCAGCTTAATTTTTCTTCCTGCTTCTTCTGTCTTTTCTGTGGAAAAAACCCAAAACCCCCATGCTTGACTGGGTGTATGTGCATTAGATACCTATTTGCATATGTTCATAATGTATGCAAGAGAAATCGCTGTATATGCATGCACAGGGAAACAGCAATATTTATACACATTCAATAAAAGAGTCTTATCCAACCAAGACACTTCTTCCTTGGGTGATTCAGACTTGAAGTTATCCTTCTGCTTCCAATCTCATTCCAATGATATCACAATTTTTGTTCTTTCCAAGCTATCCCAAATTAATGACTGAATTATCTTCTCTAATGCACTTTCATTATTTTCTTCCAATAATTTTTTCAAGTTACCAACAGAAAACCAGTATTAGCACAGATTCTCCCCCTGAAAATACACCTTCAGCAACTGGTTTCCTAGAAAGAGCATGAACGATGAGAAAAGCACATTTCCATGGTATTAGAGAGCCTCTCAGAGCAGCATTTCTTTCAATTAAAATACCTCATGTGAGTTTTTATGTTGTATTTTTTTAAGCTTTATTAAATTTACCTAAGTATACTGGACATGGGAGATTAGTTTACATGACACTTGCTCAGTGTTTCAGTAACTGTACTGCATTAACTTCTGAAGAGACTAAATGCTTAAAATTATGCTTTTCTTCTGAAGCCAAAAATAGCTGCACCTGAAGTTATTGCAAAATGTAATCGTGATCAATTTATAATTAGTTACTAGGTGCAGCCAATCAATTTTCCTTCTTATTGCCATCTTTTTAAGTCAAATTAGTTTGTTTTCTAGCTAATTGCTCTGAGTATTCTAGTTTCAAAGCAACTGGAAGATCTGTCACAGTTCTAACATAACCAAGTGTTTTCCAATCACAAGCTATACATTTCAATAAAAATATATTAACTAAAATATGTCACAATAAAGTACAAAGCTTCTCAGACAAAGGTATACAGTGTACCGAGGCTACTAAAATCTGGATTTCCTGTGACCTGACAAAGAAGTCAGTGGGAGATGAGACCTGAAATGCCAATCCTGCCCAAGCCAACACGTGTGTAGCAGGTGCAGAGCAGCACCAGTCCCCAGCGACAGGCCCAGCAGAGGGAGGCGTTGTGCATCCTGCAGAGCTGCACTCTGAGTGTTGGTATGGCGCAGAAAAATGTCCTTTTCGTGTTTTCCATCTGGAGTAAAAAGTCAGAACTACACAGAAAGGAAGTCACAGCAAGCATTCTATATATAAACAGACTGTATCCACATAGTTTATTTCTCACAGTTCTCCTGACAATTGAACATTATTTAAGAACATACTGTATACACAGATAAGAAGAAACATACAAAATGTTTTAAATGATGCACAACAAAATCCAGCAGTATAAAAGAATGCATGTGAACCCTTGCTCACTGCTCAGGCTAAATTTAATCACTGTTTAAATAGTAATAAAAATACAATCTTTCATGGATCTTGTGCAGACTACAAAAGAGGAAAAATTATTACCATATATATGATTTATATTAGGCAGTTTTCTTTGATGAGTTGCACTAACAACTCCAAATACGGAGGCAGAAGGCTGTGTATTTTATTTTAAAGGAGTTAATGTTGAGTATTAAGAGACTTTACACAGTTACTAGCACTGGCACTTTTCACCATATTTTGTACACATCACATGATCATCTTATATAACATTACATTTAAAAAATATATCTGAGTGACAATTTTATAACATTCACACACCATGAGCTGGTTAAGGAAGCAATGCCACAGTTGCCCCCTGTAGTGCTTCACTGTTGGTAAATAGAGTTCATCGTGGTTTAAAAAAAAATAAAATTAAAAAAATTGAAAGTCAACGTGATTAAGCAGCTCAGATTGAATAAAGGCTGGAACCAACCACCGCCCAGACAGTGAGCATTTGTAGAGTACATCCTAGAAGCAAACACTGTCATTGGTTAAACCTTGCCTAAAGAAGTCAGTTACTGTGCTGAAAACTATTTCACAACAAAACTGCAAGCTACTAAACTGTTTTTATATAAATACTTCATCTCCTCTGGATCTCATTATAACCGAGTTCTTCAAAGCCTTTGGAATTTACTCTATCTTTAATGTGTGCTCTCATTTCTGGCTCACCCTTTTGTATGTTTTCCTTTTGTTTAGATTCACCACCTAAAAGTGACTAATGTGGTGAAAGAAAAGTCTCCCAGTGAAACCTTCTGCACACTAGGAATGTTCAGCTGCTGTTCAGTGATCTAGAACCATGACAGCTCAAAGCTGTAGTTTGACAAGTACACCCAGGAAGCTGTCATGCTGTGAGCAACATTTCAGGGAAAGCAGAGTCTTTCCAAAATGTGCACAGAATTAACAATGGTGCCATTGTTACTTTTCAAAGAGGACAGTAAACCCAAGATGGTACATCTGCTTCCCATGTCATCTATTTGCTGGAAAGTAGTTTGGGTCAAGATAATTGTAACTGGTGCCCTGCGACATGCAGTAGTCTCTGTCTAAAAATGTCTCTGCTCTGTAAATAGGTTCTAACTGATGATCTTCCTTATGAATCTCTGTTTCATGCAGACTGCAAGGGAAAGAAAAAGATAACAGTTTAAAAGTCAAATATTTTCCTTAACTTTCAGAAACAGTGATCATATGAACAGATTCATACCAAACTGAATGCCAATTCATTCATAAAGAACAATTCCCCCCTCTACTTAACAGTACCAAACCTGTCTGTTCACTGATTAAAAAAATAAATTATAGAGCCAGAACTTGCTTACAAAACATCTCCCCCAAATATATCCTAAAGTACTTTCCACTTCACCCAACACAGGACACATGTCCTGTGCTGGAGCAAAGATTTCCAACACAGACAGCAATTACGTCGTGGAGAGATTCTAATGACAGGTAACAAGGAGAAAAGCTGCTCACCAGTCAGAACAGGAATCACAGAAATCCAAGGACATTTCCTGAGGGCAGTCCTGGCAGTGCCACCGAACACCCTGGATAGGTTCAATTCCACATTTATCACACTGTGAAACAGATGGAAGAGCACTGAGAAAACAGCAACTGCAGCCACTCATGTTACTACCACTACACACCAATGTGCCACATGGAAAGACATGTGTGTACACAGATCCCTGCTAACCAACACAGCCGAATTCTACTCACCACACACCACAGAGTAGTCATGGATACAAAGTCCTCATACTCTAGGAGAGGCCCTTCCAGAGCCCTGAGGATTGATCAGCCCTTCACCTTGCTTCCCACTCCCCTGTCCACCAAACACAGCCCCAGCCCTGTCTGCAGGAACTGCCTGTCCCCATGTGGCTGTAAGAACTGCTCTGACACAGCACACGGATGTGATCTTTCCACAGCTTAAGTTCAACCATACGAAATGTCAGACTTTCCGTGGCAGAAGAAAGCAGTAAGACCAGACCAGCAGAGGTTGGCTGGAGGCTGCTGATGGGCTGCAGATCAGGGCACAACAGGTCAGACTGATGCACTTTCAAAACTCAGGAAATGCAGTAACACATCATGGGTGGGCTGGAACTAAAAGCCATGTGGTTGGGAAGGATGTGGGACATGTTCAGGGAAGGGAACAGAAGTCTAGAACTAAAGCTGAGCAGAGACAACACAACAGCAGCTAAGTGCAGGTAAGAGTGTGGCACGAGGAAGAGGGAACAAAGCGCAAATGAAGCGTCAAGGCTAGATGAAAAATCCATGATGGTATGGAAGAGGGGCAGAAATTGAAAAATATTTGATAAAAAAAGGAAACCAGGAAAATGGGACTTGCAGGCAGGGAGACTTTTCAAAAATCTAGACTATGAAGAGTCCTGCAGAGACAGGACTGAAAAGAAAAAGCAATGTGGGAAACAAGCCTGTGCCCCCATAGCTCATCCTCTATCAGAACCTGAGTTCTCTTAGAGCATCTGTGAAATACACTTGCACTGCAGCTTGTTCCTGGCCAGGACTAATCCACTCAGGGTCACAAACACAGTCCACACCCATTTGTCTCAGCTGTCTCCCTTCCCTCCACAGATGGCTTTCAGAGCTTGAGGGCTGGTAATGAGGGACTAAGCATACCAAGAGCTGTTCTTTGAAAATATCAAGTTCAGAATAATGCTAAATGCTTAGAAAAAAACCAACCTAGTTCCAGTTATCTGAATTTGAGCACTAAGACAGTGGAAACCCTTGACCTTAATTTCTGTGCTCCAGTTTCCCTCTCCCCTGTGAAACAGAAATAATACTGTGCCTTTCACTTCCTAATGAAAAAAAGTATTTGCAAATTGCTCTGGTATTATAGCAATGAAAGCCAGAGAAAGCCCACAAGGGATTCAATAATTCAATATTCAAAGCAGGGTTTGAATAATGTGTAGTAAATGAGGCTGAAGGCAATGCAGAACCCAAAGTATTCTCAATGGCTGCTTATTAGTGAGGTCAGTCCAGCCCATGGCCTGAGCAGGCAGCACTCCTGAGGGAAAACAGCACATCATCACCTCATTTCATGGCTTACTATAATGCATAATCAAATCAAATTCAAATGCAAAGAAACTTTCAAACTTCAGATGCTTGACACCGTGCAATGCCACTTTACCTCTCAGAATACTTTTTTTGTAGAAAAAGCAAGAGAGTTTGTTATCTAGAAGTCTGCCTCGTTAAAGTTTTGATGTTTGGGGGAAGAAAATGGTAATTTAAAAAAATCCCCAGGAAACAAAACACCAAACACACCCTGCTAACTAAAACCAACAAAAATAAAAAGCACCTTGCTGGTCTAACAGCATGATTAAATCTGTCACTATCAGCTGATGAGGCTTAGTTCTACAGTCATTTTGAACTGAACTTTAATCTTTGCATTCTTACATAAATGGGTGTTAGAAAATAAACACAGCTGCATAACACCAAACAAGGTGTTACAGCAACTAGTGAGACAGAAAATCCCTTGCAAACCAGAAAATATTTTTGTTAAAGCCCTTCCTTTCATGTCACCTACTGATGGCTGATAGTGGGACAACACATCAGCTTCACTCAATGTTTATTTTCTTAGTTTTATGTAAATATTATTTTGTGTCTTTGCTTCAACTTCTGTGAGTTATTACTTGAAAGGACTGTGAAGTTGTTAAAAAAAAATTATTAATCTATTACTGTTATTCAAAATCTTTGTCCCTTCTCTGGCCTCAGGTGGAAGCAACATGACTCCAAATTCATAAGCAGAGAATCACTGCCATGAATCATTGTCACGGCAGAGTGCAGTGTCAAATGGGATTCCAGAATGATTTAACAAGGCTCTATTACATGCTGTATTTTCATAATATGGTGAGGAAAAGACAGAATGCTTATTCATTTCCACACAACATCAGCACTCAGTGAAACCTGAGCTGTCAGACAGAGTGAATTAGTTGGGCTGTTTATACCAAACAAAATGAGGGAAAGCAGACACAGAGAACAAGAACAAAGGAACAAAACTTGCTGTATTAAACAAAATCTTCTCAGGGAATTCTAACCATGTTCTCCTGGAAAACTTCTACAATGCACACAGTGAGAACAGAAGGACATCTCTGATGCTCACCTTGAATCCCACGTGCTGCACAAACCCACTTTCTGCATGCATCTGCTGGAGTTTCTGTTTCTTCAACTTTTTAAACTCTAACAGTTCTTTGTATTCAGGTAACTCTCGATATGTTACTGGAATACTCTCTTCATCCTGTTGGAGGTTAAAAAAACCAAACAGAGAAACATTCTTACTTTCTGAATATAATAACTAGCAGGACACATATTCACTCCAGAAATCACTATGTGTGATTAATAAGGTTTAAGAAAATGATGGCAATATATTCTAACATGCTGGGGAAATATTTTAAAAAACACAAAGCAGTGCAAACAGCAAACTTAGATCTTCTTTTCTATTATTTTATTATTTGCATTGAAACAAAACCCACATTGTCCTACAAACAAGTTTCTTCTGGCAAAAAGCTTAGCTGCAGCATAAAGGAGAGAGCAGTGCCTAACTTCCATTTCTAGGATGGGTTTTTTCCTCATCTTAGATGCCCAATGGGAATTTGCATACAATCCACTTGTCCATACACTGTGAGCAGAAGACAGAGCTTTTGTTTAAGTCACAGCTGCTTTATTTCAGTTCTAGACACTGGGCAACAGATATTATACACGAGAACTAAATTTTGAAGTCAGTTTTCTCAATTGATCTTTACTGTGGAATGGGATGGATGAACACCACTGTTAGGATAGTTATGATCACTATTCTGAAGTGCTTTCAAAGCTGTGAAAATATTAGAAATAAATGACACCCAAAACCATTTTACAGTTTAAATAATTTTTGTACAGAAAGACCCATTAAAGTCAAGACAGCAGTGAGGTCCCATTACACGTTTTTATTTGGAGTCAGTCATTCTTAATGGGATTAACTGCTCACCTTTACCTTGAAGAACAAAAAGTGATGAAAGGCACCACTGCATGCCTGAAAGGGGAGAACTTTCAGAGTTATCCAACTCCTTCATCTTGTAATAGCTAAGAACACAGACTGCTCTTTCTCATAAATTATGAAGAAGTTTATCTCCCTAACGTGTACATCTCCACAAGAGATTTACAACACACAGGTCTCGTTTTCAAGAGAGACATGATCTCCGTTCTTCCTCATCCAGTTTCCTTCAACAAAGGCTGATACAAAGGACAGAAGTTCTAATTCTAATTCAGGCACTCATTTCAAGGCAACTATTCCATGGCAGCAGCTGTACTGGTAGCTGTCACCTGTTTTCCAAGGTGATGAGTCTTTACTGACCTAGAGCAGTTTTCAGATCCTACATCAATAGGAACGTTCAGGTATGGGAAACGACTGCAAGACAGGAATTAAAATTCTTCTATGTAGCCTACACACAATTTCAAATTTTTTTTAAGAATCCATGATGATTAAAGATTCTGTATTATTTAGTAAGTTTATTAAAGGA